CAGTGGCCTGAGCAGCTGGGGGTGGAGACAGAGCTTTGTGAAAGCCTGGCTTCCTCCCAGGCGTTCAGAGCAGCCCAGAGGCTGATGGACCAGAAGCTGAGCTGGGCCAGCATGGCAGGAAGGGAGCCAGCCAAGCAGGGATGTGACACCGTTCAGAATCAACAAGGGACCAAAATACGCACACAGCCCCCCCGCCCCCCTCCCGAACCAGAACAGAGCTCAGGGGGCTGGGGGAGGTGGCTCCGTGTGCTCGCCTGAGGGCTCCCCAGAGAACAGCAGCATGCCCCGGCACCCAGCGCTGTACTCACTTTAGCCCCCTGACCGCCCTTGTCACCCTTGGGTCCCTGCAATGAGAAGTGAGAGTGAGAGCTGCTCGCCTACGCGCGCAGGAAAGAGACACAACACACAATCTTCACTTTGCTATGGTGGCCTCTGAATCCACACTCCCGGCGTCCAGTTGCAAAGTGCCAGCAAGGTAGAAGGGGCAGGCTCTGGTACCTATGAGTGTCTAGTGCTCACTTCAGAGACAAACTAGTCCTGCCTCTGCCGTCAAGGGAACAGCAGGGGAGCTGGTCTGGAGAGAGCAAAGAGACAGAACAGGCTCAAATGTCCCGGGACGTCTCCTGTGGCTACCAGACTCTCCCCATTAGCAACTGTGCAGCAAGGGACAGCCCTGGTGGGAATGGCGCCATCACACAGGCGAGCCGCATGAATGAACCATGAATGGAGGAGCTGAGCCTGACGAGGTAACCAAATGGGGTGAAACAGTCCTTCTTGGGCTAGCGGGAGCTGCATCTCTGCTGATGAGAATGCCCCTGCCTCTTGGCATGGCCTGGCCTGTCCCCAGGAAAGCAGCAGATGCCCCCCGTTATCTGCTAGTGGAGTTTATACACCAGTGCAGACTCTGCACCTGGGGCAGGGCAGGGCACCAAAAGGAATCGGAAACCTGGCCAAACATCAGAGCAGAATGGGACTCTCTGGACTGCACGTAGAAGAGATGTGAACCGGGCCGGGGTGGGAAGCGATGGCCAGGGACGGGCTGTGAACAGCCCAGGCAGGTCTGCTCAGCTGACAGAGAGCAACTCAGATGCATTTTATCAGTCCCCAGCGAGGACTTCAATGACAGGGCAAGGGACACCTGACATTTGCCGCTGGGGAGCAGAACATCTGTGTGTGTCACTTGAACTGTACTGTGAGAACAGTATATAGCTGTGAGAACAATCCAGGCCCTGCTGTCTAAAGAGGGCTGTACCTGCAACCAGCAAACACTTGGGCAGGTCTCTAAGAATATCAGACTTCAGAGTCCACAAACAGCAGTTAGGGTGGGTCAGGGAGCTGGAATCCCGACACTCACCTGAGGTCCTGGGAAACCTTCCAGCCCTGGGCGCCCATCCACACCCGGAGCACCATGGTCCCCCTGGAACACACAGACAATCATAGCACATTGAGACTTTGCCTTCGACACGGAGAGCCCTGGTCCCTGGGGGTGTGAATCGCATTCTGGCTGCCACAGAGCCCCACCCAGCTCTAGGCAAACCCCTAAGCCCAGCAGCCACTCTGGGCAACCTTGTTCTAGGGTCCACATAAGGGTTTTGGGTGGATTCTGTATCACAAGACCACACATTTTACAAATCTGCCTGATGACACTGTTGAGCATTTTGAAATATTGACCTGTCATTCCACCTCGCCACCCCTGCCCCCAGAACCAGTAAGAGTTTGCGTGCTCTGGGGCATACAAAATTAAGTTCTAATCTATGAAATGCACGTATTTAACACTTGCTACAGCCATCAGTAACTATGTGTTTGAATCACAGGGGTACGGGGGAGGGGAGTCGCGGCAGCCCTCAATTTTCATTAGATACACCGACCACTCTTTTAATGTGAAAAATATTCAGCCCATTATAAATATATTCAATAATAAGAATAATTTGAACCAAATTCTTAACGTTGGAATCATTATACCTGAACACTAGTGATCTCCCTCATTCAGACTATAGCTGAGCGCCCCAGGATGAGTAAGACAAGTCACGGCTTGTGATCTCCCAAAGCTAAAGCTGATTTTGTTAGGTCATTGCTACACACCACACCTCCCTGCCCTGGACAGAACATGGTCCGTGGCAGTTTGGCACGGTTGCATACGCATCTCATAGATGTACAAGGTGCATCACTCTCACAAGAGCGCCTGTTTAACTTCAAAATATCCGGAGAGCACGCACGGCACTGTCTGCTACGGTTTTGGGAAGGAGAGACTTGTCTGCGCGGATCCATCCCTAATGGATTCCAAGCACTTTTACCCACCCACGCATGAAGATGTGCTCATTTTCCATTTTCTTTAAATGCTTCGGTTGTTGGGGGTAAGGAGGTGAGCTCCGGTGGTGCCTTTGCCAATTTTTGCTGCCCGATTTCTGCCGTGTGTCCGACATGGTGGCACGATTTGAGTGTCTGTAGCAGGCAGCCACGAATTTGGTTGCCTGTTCAATGACACCAAGCTCTGCTGCACTGATGTCACCCAGCAGAGAGAGGGAGCATCTAGCACACCCAATCTTCAACATAGTGCCTTTGCCAAGTTAACCACTGTATCACAGCCTGAGTGCATGGGCAGCTAACAGCCCTGGTACAAGGTGAGCCTGTTTCTAATTAGCAGCAGCATGCATGTCTAGTCCAGCTCTCCCTTGGACTGGGGGGTTCCATGCTCACTAAAGATGCTGTGTCCTGTTTGCGGTAATGGTGCAAGAGCAAGACAAATACGTCAGTGTCGTCTGATAACATGGATATTCCCACCAGTTCCTCTTTCGTGACCATCACCATTTGTTGTACAAGGATGCTGTCGGCCTCCTCATGAGAGATGGCCATATCTTCTCCGTTGACCACCGCATCTCCCTGGTTTATTTCAATCGGGCTACCATCTCTGCCTGTGATGATTAGTTTGTGCTTTAGTATGAGTCGTTCGTTAAACTTCTTGTCTTGAATGAGTTCTCTACAAATCTTATCAATTGTGTCTTATTTTCAGTAACCATCAAGACAATTTTCTGTGGAGGTGTGACAGAGTGTACCAGGCCCAGAGGTCCCTGCTGTAGGCCACAGGGTCCTATCATACCTGCCATAGAAAAAGAGCAGTAGAGAAGCCCTCCAAGCAGTCTAAAGAGACTGTGCAGGAGGCAGCCAATCAGAGAAAGGCTCCAGGGAGCAGCAAATCCGAGGGTTGCAGACCCATGTAAAAGGAGCTGCAGAGAGAGAGTCAGGCAGTTGCTGCCTGGAGCTGGAGGAGTGAGGACTGTGTTCTGGGCTGGCGGAAGGAGCAGCAAGACCACAGACAGATCAGTTGCTGGCAGGGACTGGGGGAGCAAGAGAGAGGTCCTCACTGGCTGCTGGGACTGAGTGAAAGGACTTCGGCCCTATGGTAAGGGTGAAGCATTTGTGAAGGTGCCGGAGTGGGGGAGTGGGCCAGGGAACTGTAGCAGCACAGTGATTAGTTAAAGAGGTTTTGTTTTGTTGAAAGCTCACAGACTGTGTGTGAGACTTGGCCGGAGGGCTCAGTCACCGAAACCGCCTGAGAAACCAGCAACAGGGGTCACCACAGACTGAGAAAGGTGGGTACCACCTTGTTACAGGAGGTAGCTGTGTGCTTATACTCAACAGATGCACACCGCTTGTTTCTGTAGCTCTGCTAGATCTTGTGACTCTCTTTGTGCTGAATTCTTGGTACCTGCCAAAGACAAGATACACATCACATGCTGCTAGCTTGTGCTCAAGGCAGACTTTGAAACTGGTCATAAAGTCCTTGATGATACCACCTGCTGGCCAGTGAACTATCCAAAGAACTGTGGAACCGCCAATGACCAAGCAGGTGATTTCTTGTGAAGTATGTCTAGTTGACACCTCGGTCTGCAGCTGCTTCTTGAGGCTACACTGAGCCTTGGTAGAGGAGCAACTCCTGTGATAAAACATTCTTGATGTCAACGTCTCATGAACTTACTTACAGGCCAATCACTCTTGAATAGATAAGGCTAGTGTCCAATACCAACCTGTACATGCTTATCTTTTGTCACTGCCAGTGTCTCTACTACCCTTGACATTGTGTCATACCATCGTCTAGGCCAGCTACGTTAAAATTCTGGCATTTGGCGAATAGCACTTGTAAGAGTGTGTTCGCTCACTGCTTGCGGCACCTCCTGCTGGCCGTCCTGGGAATTAGCTCTCGTGCGCTCCCTCCAGTGGTGTCTTCCCCCATCTTGTCTCACTCTGTGGCCCCCGCTCATTCCTGGATTGGCAGTCTTCTCTTCATGGCTTAGCGTCCAGCCAGATCACTAAGGTCCTCCCCTTCCGGTGAATTCAAAGTCTTTCCAGACCCACTGTCCGGCTGGTGTCTCCCATGCCCTGGCCACACCCCAGTGGCTGGTAGGGGAACCCAGGCCCACCCTCTACACTGGGTTCTAGTCCAGGGACCCTGTAACAAGGAGTCACGGGCCGGGTAGAGTCCTATGCCTTGCTGCTGTTTCTCTGGGCTTCTTCCTACCTATCTGACTTCCCCCATCTCTGGGTTTGCCAGCCTCCAACTCCCTCCCCTCAGAGGGACTGCAGCCTACCCAAACACCAGCTCCCATCTGCAGTCAGTTACCTGGCTTTATACAGACACTGCCTGTTCCTGATTAGCTGCCTCCAGCCTAAAGTGCCCCTGTTTGCAGCCTCAGTAGCTGATTGGGCCCTCCTGACGAGTGTGAGGAGCACATGCCATCACAATGTGTCATCTACACTGACCAATGGTGGTGCCACTCTACCACCAATGTCTATTATTGCCTCCTGGTGCTTAGTGGGGGTCTAAGGGATCGATGCACAGCTCTAGCTTCTTCAATGGCAGGGGTGGCTCCCGGCACTAGCACAACAAGCGCGTGCTTGGGGCAGCAAGCCGCAGGGGGTGGCGTGCTGGTTGCCATGAGGGCGGCAGCCAGGCAGCCTTCAGTGGCATGCCTGTGGGGGGTCCGCCAGTCCTGCAGCTTCGGCGGTTATTCGGCGGCGGGTACGCCGAAGATGCGGGACCGGCAGACCACCCACAGAAACGCCGCTGAATCCGTGTGACCAGCGGATTGCCCGCAGGCATGCCGCCGAAGGCCGCCTGACTGCCGTGCTTGGGGCAGCAAAAAACATAGAGCCGCCCCTGTTCAATGGCTCTCTGTCCGGTGCATCTGCAGCAATCCTGGATTTCATTTCTTCTTTAGGGAGCACTTGTATGTGCGCCTCACTGGTGTCTTTCATGTTTGCAATGTCTTCCACCAGCCAGCTGCACAGGCGGAGGCTAAGAGCCCAAATCTTGAGCGCCTCTGGCTTCAGGCTGTTCCCAATGAGACACATCTGTCGCCCTGACATGGCATCCCGGGAAGTATGCTGCCTGCCAGGGGCCCGTATCCGAGACGCTATGGAGGGATTGTCGAGGATCATCTAGCCCTCTATTACCCCATGCTACTCATCCATGTGGGTACTAACAATACTGCGAGGTCTGAGCCTCAGCAGATCAGAAGTGACTACGGGGCTCTGGGAGTATGGGTGAGGGAGTTGGGAGCACAGGTGATGTTCTCTTCGATCCTTCCGGTCAAGGGTAGGGGACCTGGCAGACACAGATGCATCCTGGAGGTGAATGCCTGGCTGCGAAGATGGTCTTGCCAGGGTGGCTTCAGCTTCCTTGACCACGGGATGCAGTTCCAGGAAGAAGGACTGCTCAACAGAGCTGGGGTCCACCTATCGAGGAAGTGGAAGAGCATATTTGGATACAGACTGGCTAACCTCGTGAGGAGGGCTTTAAACTAGGTTCGTAGGGGGCAGGTGAACAAAGCCAACAGGTAAGTCAAAATTATGGTGACCCGGGAGAAGATTCGGAATCTGGGGGGAGCATGGGTTGTTATAGCAGGGATAAAGGAGAGACAAGAGAGAACTGGGGGGAGGGGAATTAAATCAGTATCTTAGAAGTCTGTATACTAATGCAAGAAGTATGGGGAATAAGCAGGAACTTGAAATGCTAGTCTATAAACACAACAATGACATAGTTGGCATCACAGAGACTTGGTGGGATAATACACATGATTGGAATATTGGTATAGAATGGTACAGCAGCTTGCTCAGGAAGGACAGGCAGGGAAAAAAGAGAGGAGGTGTTGCCTTATATATTAAAAACGTATACACTTG